TTCCTGGGCTTCGGGGACCGAGAGGCGGTATGGGGCTCGATGCTGGACACGGTAGTTCGGTTCGAGTTGGATGCGGTGCTCGACATCACGCATAGGAGGAATGCTACTATAGGAGACAGATGAAGGAAAGACATCGCGATACTCGCGAAGAAGAGTAGCGACGCTTGGTTGCAAGGTCGCTAGGAGGTCATCAAACTCCTTAGCAGCAACAGCGTCTGAAGCAGGAGTGGAAGGAGTCGGCGTAGGGATAGGTGCGGATGGCGTCTCCCTGTCAAAGGACGCGACAAAGTGCGATGAGCAGGTGGAAATGGAAGGAGTCGGCGAATCAGGAGGATCTGGAGGCTCGGGGGGTGGTGGATCGAGTTCGACCAACTCAACGTCCTGATGCATGGAGTTGCAGGTAAGAAGGTCCGTGATGTCGACAATGTAAAGTTTGGCATCCGACTGGCGAAGAATGTGGTTAAAGTGAGTAGGTGTCAGAATGGAGACATTAACAGGGGGAGGAGGTGTAGGGTCCGATTTGCCTAACAACGGAATACGATACCCTTGATCGTCCTTGGTGTAGAGGACGAGGTCGTTGTGGACCCAATCGGGGCCAGAATGAGCAAATTTGTGTGAGTAGGCAGTGCCGAAAATAATGTCATACATGGTTTCCATGACGTCGAACGTCCACTGGTCATGGAACCGGGGGGCCTTGCGAAGGCTACGGGGCATCCGCAAGGGAAAGGGAAATGGAAGATCAGGCACCACAGAATCGACGAAGGATTTGGCGTGGTTGTCGCCAAGGGTGACAGTAACAGTGGAGGAGTAGGAAGATGTGTAGAGGGATGCCTCCTTGACTACGCGAGGATGGATGAAGTCGCCAGTAGAGCCAGAGTCCCATAATGCGCGATAAACTCTAGTAGAGGTTTTGAGGCGCACAGGAATAATCAGTAAAGTGCGATCGGGATTGTGTAAGCGCTAGGAGATCGCGGCGAGGGTGTTCTCTTTAAGGCGGAGACGTTCCTGGCGGACCTTAACACACTCAAGGTCCAGGAAGTCGATGATATCCTCTGCTGCAATAAGGGAGGCACTGCAGCGGGCCGTGCGAAGGGCACGCCTAGTAGGAGGACGAGGAGGAGGAGAGGGGTCATGAGAGACGCTAGGCGAAGGCGTGGGAGGTGGGTCGGCAACACTAGGGTCGACCGACAAGGAAGTCGAGTCCGAGTCCTCCGAGAAAGTAGTAAGTGGTGAGAAGGTGGACTCGCGGGCGAGAATGCCTGCTACTATTGGAGGATCAGGGGAATAAGACATCGTGGCTAGGTGGCCGCTGTGCTGGAGGTCGAGGCGGGGGGGACAGCCTGAGGGTGAGCCTGTTGTGCAAAATGGCTCTGGAGGGCGTCCGCATACGGGCAGGTAGAGGGGGTGTGACCGGCGAGACGGCAACGGGTGCAGATGCCTCGTGCGCGAAGCTCCTCACTCTCCGTGATAGTCAAACGGCCACGGGGGAACACAAAGCCCGCTGGTAGAGGCAATTGGGCGACCGTGGAGCGAGTCCTGAATGATGAGGGTTATCGCCGGAAGAGAGCGGAAAGGGCCCGGAGAAAGCGATCGTCCTGGGAATGGGTGTCGTCCTCCGTGGGCGACTGAGGGTAAGACCCCTGGTCTGGGTCACTCGCCGAACCGTCCGAGGCCATGCCCTCCTCGACACTCGACGGTTCACGGAGCAGTGCGTGGAATCGGCGTGCGAGCGATCGGTCGAGACCTCTGCGGGGACCATGACGGAAAGTGGAAGACTGTCGAGGCTGGGAGGGGCGAGGGGCTGTAGCAGCAGCAGCATAGGTGGCGGGAGGTTGACGCGAAGGGCCAGCAAGTGGGGCATAAGATAGATGGATGGCCCGAGCAATGTTGAAGGCCTCTGGTAACGTAGAGATGGAGTAGGCCATCATCTGCAGCTGGAATGCCTGGGGGAGGCCTGCGCGGAATCGTTGGATCATGGGATCCTCCGGTATGGTGGTGACGGGGATCTGGGCGCGGACACGGTGGAATGCCGTGATATATGACTCGAGGGCATTGTCGCCACCAAGCCATCTGATCTTGGCCACCTGGGAAATCGGGTCGCGGGTTGGCGCAGGAGGAGAAAAGTACTGCTGCAGGAAATCGCGGAACTCCTCATAGCTCATGCCCTCCTGTACACCCCGTTGAGATCAAAGAGCGAGGAAGTCACGCTAGGAAGAGGCTGCGCGACCTGTGAAACGGGATGACATCTCGACGGGCCACAGTTCCATGGCGACGCCATGATAGCGGAGCTGCTCCTCGGAAGTAGTGATCCATCCCTGGAGCTCAGAGGCCTTGCC